GGTGTGTGTGTGTGTGTGTGTGTTTTTGTGTGTGTGTGTGTGTGTGTGTGTGTGTGTGTGTGTGTGTGTGTAAACTCCCTCTGTCTCTCCCGTTGACTTATACATACATATATACACACACAGAGAGAGAGAGATGGCAATCACTGTTCATTACTAAAGAGAAAGAGAGAGATGGCAATCACTGTTCATTACTCTGTAAAAAAAATGAGAATTTCTCCTTCAAGTAATATTTTACAAATACTCAAGGAATCTGTAGCCATGATGGCTCCTGTAATAACGGAGGTGAAAAAATACAGTATAGTATTTCTAATTATGAGCTGATCGGAAAGGTCAGCTATAAGCTACAAAAATAAAGAGGTGAAAGCTTAATTGTAGATTAGTATTTCCTCCAGATAAATTCTGTACTAATTCACTTATAACATTTCTCTATGATAGGGCTGTCTCTCTCCTTCAGGTAGCTTCTTCTTCCTGTCCTGTTCCTAATAGTTTCAGCACTGAGAAGAAAGATTTATATGGTTGGATATGGGCAGTCAGTCCCCCCGCCCTCCATTAAGGGAAAACCAGAAGGGGACTAACAAACCCTATTAAGTGAACCGGTCTACATAGGAAGAAAGGTGATATATTGTTATGGATTTCTAATTAGAACAAAGCAAGGGTTTATTAATCCATATGAAGCCAAATAAACTAAAACTGGATTACAAGATTGCATAATCTCCTAGTACGGAAAGCAGCAAAACATGTGATAATCACCACCAATCTCTAAAAGATCGGAGTTAATATAATGCATTCATTCCTGGCAATTTGCAATTTTAAGAGATTTAAGCAATAGACTATTTTTTCAAAAGTCCTATGTGTACAAACCTTGGCTGGCTGGCTAACTCACTGAGTTAGATATTTGGCTGCAGAGCAGGAGGTTTGGAGTCCGATTCCCCACTGTTCTTCCTGTGTGGCCTTGGGCAAGCTGTATAGTCCCGGGACACCCTCAAAAGAAGGGAAGGGTAAACCACTTCTGAGAACTCTACATAGAAAACCCTAAAAAGAGTCACCATAAATCAAAATTGATATGACAGCATCCAATTATTATTTAAATAGTTCTTAATTCTTTGTTCGAATTAGCTGAACAAATGTTATGCTGTGTGCCATCAACTCAGAACCAACTTACAGCAACCCCAATAGGATTTGAAAGGTAAGTGTGATGCTTAAAGAATGATTTTACCATTTCCACTCACCTACCTCCCAGTGATTTTCCATGGCTGAGCAGGGAGTCACACCCAGGTCTCGATGCACTACACTACACTAGATATCAACGCTTAAGAATTTTGTGCTTTGTATAACCTTATACTGTATATCTTTTAAATCAACAAAACTAATTCTGGACACACGTCTCTGGGGAGTATTCCACAACAGGTGTAGATTATCTGATATTGCCTGTACATACTTAGTAGTGAAAGGAAAGGAAAGTCAGATTCACAGAATCATAAAACTGTCATATCGGGTAAAAACAATTAAAAGATAGAGAGAGAGAGAAGCATTGTGGCACAAGGATTAATACCGTAAAATATTCATGCTGGACTTCTCACTGTTTCCCATCTCATATGTCTGATGAAGAGAGCTTAAGAAGGCCCACAAAAAGTTGCATTAAAATATAATAGTCTTTAAGATGTCACAACGCTTTTGTGTTTGTTTTTTCAAATTTTGTTTTTGTTTGATATGCGTGCATAGACTAACAAGACTAACATGGCTACCTTTTCTATAACATTGTCAAGTTTCAAGGGAGCTCAAGGGTCATCTAGTCCACCACATGCCGAGGTAGTTTGTTCTCTTGCTGAACAGCTCTCACCATCTGGATATTATTCCTAAGATTTAGCTAAAATCTCCTTCCTCGTAATTGCAATCCTTTTGTTCACATCCCACTGAAGTGACAGCCCTTCATACTAGTTGCTGCGACTGGAATTCTCTAGTGCCGCATTCTTAGAACATTCAGACACTTCAGGAATTATCAGCTATATGTGGGTTGCAAAGGAATTCCCATAAGTACCATTTAGAAATTCCCAGAGAGGAAATGTGCCAAATGCATGAATGTGGAAAGTGCAGGATAAAAATGCTATAAATATATACAGGCAAATGAATATTTTCTTCCCTATGTGCCTCCACAAAATAATCTCCTGTCTTCAAAAAAATATAATAACTGAACCATAGAGAGTACAGAAAATCTTTGACTTATTACTGTTTAAGCACATGGACAACATATTTTAAAAACATGCAGAGAAAAACTAACAGCTGAGACCAATCCCATGCACTTGTGATTATTACAATTTTAACTAAAGAAGAAGCACTAACTTAATAATGATAATAATAATAACAGTAATAGTAATAGTAAAAATAATAATAGTGATAATAATAGTGATGATGATGATGATAATAATAATAATAATAATAATGATGATGATGATGATGATGATGATGATGATGATGATGATGATGATGATGATGATGATGATGATGATGATGATGATGATGATGATGATGATGATGATGATGATGATGATGATGATGATGATGATGATGATGACGATGATGATGATGAAGTGGGTGTATCCACAAAATCTCATATTGAAATTTAATAGGCACAACCAAAAAAAAAATTTAAAAAGTTGTTATGTCCCATCAAGTCACCTTCGACTTGTGGCAAACCTATTCTCCAAAATGTTCTGTCCTCAGCAGCCTTGCTCAGATCTTGCAGACACAAACTTGTCGTCTCTTTTAGTGAGTCAGTCCATCTTATGTCTGGTCTTCCTCTTTTCCTGCTGCCTTCCACCTTTCCCAGCATTATTTCAAGGAAATCCTGTCTTCTCATGATGTGCCCAAAGTAGGACAGCCTCAGTTTCATCAATTTCGCCTCCGGAGATAGTTCAGGTTTGATTCAATCTAGGACCCACTTGCTCGTCTTTCTGTCAATCCTTACTGTTGTTGTTGTTGTTACTTATGGTGACCCTAGGAATGAGTGATCTCCTACATTTCCCGTTCTCATGCGCTTAGTTACGCTCTCGCAAACTTGAGCCTGTGGATTCCTTTAGGGAATCAATCCATTTGTATTTGGTCTTCCTCTTTTCCTTCAACCTTTCCCAGCAATATTGTCTTTTCCAGAAAATCTTGCCTTCTTAAGGTAGGGTAAGTAAGATAGCCTGTTTCAACATTTTTGTCTCCAGAGATAGTTCAGGATTGATTTGATCTAAGACCCCTTGTTTGTCTTTCTGCTAATCCAGAGTATCTGCAATGCTTCACTGCAGCACTATATTCCAAATGGAACAATTTTTTTCATGTCAGCTTTCTTGACTGTCCAACTTTCACACTCATACATGGTGATCAGAAATATAATTATGTGGATGGTCTTGTTCTTGGTCTCCAATGGCACATCCTAAGATTTGATTATATTTTCTAGTTTCTTTATAGCTGTCCTTCTTAATCCCAGTCTTCCTCTGATTTCTTGGCTGCAGTCTCCATTTGGATTGATGATTGAACCAAAGTATACAGAAACCTTAGCTATTTCGATTTCTTCATTGTCAGCATTAAAGCTGTGTAGTTCTTCTGCAGCCATGATTTTTGTCTTCTTAACATTCAGCTGCAATCCTGCTTTGGTATTTTCTTCTTTAACTTTCTTTAACAGTTGTTTCAAATCACTGCTGCATTCTGCCAATCAAATAATCTCCTCTGCATATATTAAATGATTGATGTTTCTTCCACCAATTTTCATTTCCCATTCATCTTAATCCAGGCTGGCCTTCCGTATATTATCTGCACATAGATTAAATAGATAAGGGGGTAAAATGTGCTCTTCTGTGGCACCTTTGCCAATAGAAAACTACTATGTCTCTCTCTATTCTACTCTAACAGTAGCTTCTTGTCCACAATGCAGGTTATGCATCAGGACAATCAAGTGCTGAGATATTCCCATTTCTTTCAGAAGAATCTATAGTTTCTCATGATCTACACAGTCAAAAGCTTTGCTGTATTCTATAATGCATAGACTGATTTTCTTCTGAAATTCCTTAGTGCTTTCCATAGCTAAAGGGTATTTGTTATTTAATCTCGAATGCATCTTCCTTTTCAAAATTCAACTCGAACATTTCTCATTCTATATAAGGTAAAAGACTTTGTTGCAACATCTTGAGCATTGCTGTACTTGCAAAGAAATTAACATAATGATCCTAGAGTTAACTGCTCTCCTTGGTATCTCCTGTCAAATTCCTTAGTGCTTTCCATAGCTAAAGGGTATTTGTTATTTAATCTCGAATGCATCTTCCTTTTCAAAATTCAACTCGAACATTTCTCATTCTATATAAGGTAAAAGACTTTGTTGCAACATCTTGAGCATTGCTGTACTTGCAAAGAAATTAACATAATGATCCTAGAGTTAACTGCTCTCCTTGGTATCTCCTGTCTTGGGGGTTGTGCTATGCTTGCAAAGAAATTAACATAATGGTCCTAGGGTTAACTGCTCTCCTTGGTATCTCCTGTCTTGGGGGTTGCAATGTATATTGAACATTGCCAGTTTGTGAACCATTGTTTTGTTTTCCATATTTTTCTCTTATTCTTCTTAGGATTTTGACAGATTTATTCTCTCCGGCTTGAAACAGATATCAGTATTCCATCTACCCTAGTGATCTATTACTTTCTAATGCTTTCAGAGCAGCTTTCACTTCACTTTCTAGAACTGCTGGTTCTTCATCATAGGCTTCCTCTTCAAAGGAGTCTGTCATCCTTTTGTCCCTTCCTATATAGGTCTTCAGTATACTGTTTCCACCTTTTCTTTATTTTCGCATGATCGGATAGTGTGCTTCCTTGTTGGTCATTCCGTATTCCTAGTCTAGGCTTCATTTTCCCTTTGATTTCTTGACTCTTCTGGAAGAGATCCCTTGTCTTCACCCCCTCCTTTGTTGTTTTCCTGTATTTCTTTGCACTGGTTGTAGTGCTAGTTCTCTTTGTCTCTACATGACAGTTGCATTGTAGTACTAGTTCGCTTTGTCTCTACATGACAGTTGCTGAAAAATTGCATTCAGGGTTCTGACTCTAGTTCTGTCACCTTTTCCTTTTAATCGGTTCTTTGCAATTTAAGTGTTTCATCCACCATAGGTTTTTCTTTTCTTTTTACTACAGGAATTGTCTTTTTGCTTTCTTCTCTGATAATATAAAACCACTGGTTCATGGTCAGTTGAGTTTAGTAGATTAGTTTATTAGATTAGTACAGTATCACATAATCCACACATCTAGGAAATAGCTGTATTAGTCTGTGCAAGCATATCAGCCAATAACCCAACCCAACCCAAGCAAAGCAAAAAAACAAAAACATTGTAGCACCTTAAAACCAACTGTTATATGTACTTTAATGTGATCCTTGGGGGATCAAGTCCACTTCCTCAGATATAAGAGTGAAATGATAGAATGTCACATTCATAGATGGCCTCTTCATTGGGTGGAGACTCAGATAATGGAGAAAATGAGAATGCCTCATTATATGTGAATAACTACAAGGTAATAATAGCATAGTTGTTCCAATGGCGAGCTTTGGGAATCAATTTGGCTTTCACACATAGTGACTTATAAACCCTTGATTGATATTCAGTCCTTTCAAGTGGGTTTCTAGCATCTCTGCATACCACATGTCAGTTGTTTCTCTTTCAAGTCTAGTTTTGTTGTGTTTTTTTGTCAGACTTGTCACTAGCAGGTCACTCACAAGGGTGTCCAGATAGACTGAAATGTTCTGAAATAAATTTCTCTGTGTTGCCTGTTGTCAGAGTTGTGGCCATTCATTCTTTCGCTCATCTATTATCCCGTTTGTCCAGTGGAGAGTGCAAAAGGGCACTGTTGGCAAGGGATGGCATCGATCACATTAGCAGAGGAACAAGTAAAAGCACCCCTGGCTTTTTGTGTGACATTGTTGGGGTGTGCAGTTGTGTTGCTTTCGGGACAGAGCTGGCAACTAGGTTTGTAACATGATTGAGTTCCCACCTTTGTGTCCGTGTTGCCTATGACCTTTCCCCTCCTCAGTCCAAAGGGATAATATGGCTGGTCAAGTTTTCTGGGCACCTAGGGCAAAAAAAGTGTCTCCACGCTGCCGTGGTAAAAATGCAAGAACGACAAATGAAACCGTTCCGCCCCGTTTCAACCCCCGACCCACCCTCTCCAGTTCAGCCGCCTGAGGCAACTGCTTCACTCTGCCTCAGGGTAAGGCCGGCCCTGAGGCAAGCCACGCCGACCCTCTGGAGGTGTGTGGCGGAAACGAGCCCGCCGAGGGCCCCTGTCATTGTGTGCGCAGATGGCCGCACCTGATCCGGAAGGGCGGCGGGGGGGGGTAAGCCGCTCGGGCCGAGTCCCCGGCCCCAGCAGAGGGGAGTGGCCCGTCCTCACGGAAGGGCGCTAAGACCCTGGATATCCTGAGGCGGACGGAGGAAGCAGCAGGGAGGGAGGGACTCGTCCCAGCGAGTTTGGGGAGCCGGTTTAAAGGTTGACGTTTGCGTGCGTGCGTGTGTGTGTGTGTGTGTACGTGTGCGCCGCTTAAGGAGTGGAGCGCATTTATGTGGTTCGCGAGCGCTTGAGGCGAAGCAGGCGCGCGGCGATTTTGACGGAGAAGCCGGCGCTGCGCGGTCTGAGCCCTGCGTCCCCGTCGGGTCGCTCCTATCCCGGACCATGGACCGCCTCCACGGTAAGCCGTGCGCGAAAGGATGGCACTTCCTCGATCCGATCCGATTGTTCTGCTTTCATCTGAGGCGGGAGAGTCGGCTTGCCATCTGCTTTTGTTGAGAGAGGGAGGAAGGAAGAAAGAAAGAAAGAGGGTGGTGTTCAGATTTGCCGGGGAAATGCGAGCGGGGGCAGCAGCCCTGCCTGCGTGGGTTCGCGTCGCTCGCTGGCCCCTGCAAATGGGTATCGCGCGGGGAACGAGAGCGGTCGCAGGATCCCGCTCGCTCCTCTGCCGGTGGGGGCGAGGAAAGCACTTGGGTGAGGTGGCAGGACAAGGAGGTATCGAGCAGGCTGAAGAGTATATAGTGGCGCCAGCTGTTGAGGGGGGGCCCCGGCAGGTTCGACGCGATGGCGCTCAAAGAGGTGTTTGCACCAGCTCCGTCTATGGGAGGAGGGATCCGTTCCCCAACCGAGAGTCCCGCTTGTGCCCGGGCGGGGAGTGCCATTCATGCACCGCGGGCTGGCGCTTGCTTGCTTGCTTGCGAAGAATCGCCCGGATGGGAGGAGATCGAGCGATCGATCCATTTGATCAGCATTAAGGGGCGGGCCACGCCCACGCGGGCTGGCATTCCGGGCACGTTCCGCCGGGTGTGTGTGTGTGTGTGTTGCCATTGTGTTTTGGCATGTGAGGAGGAGAGAAAAGGAGAAAGGTGTGTGTGTGTGGTGGAGAATAATTGGGGGAGGAGAAAGTACTTACTCATAAATTTATTCCTGTATTTCGAAGCTTGAAATGTCGCCGGCCTATTATTGTTATTATTACTGTTGCTGAGATAACAGTCGGAGGACGTCGTCATGGAGCTGTTACAGCTGTGGCCGGCACTGGTGCCCAACAATAACCCTTGAACAAAACAAAAACACAACCGGCGAGGTGTGCGCACCCGAGCGGGCATTTTTCTCCAGGGGCCTTTGTGTGTAACCTGCTCGGTGGGGATCCGGGGGCGGGGAGCGCCCTGTTGCCAAATGTATAGTCAATGAAATTCCTTGGCTCCCGGCCGGTGCCATTATGTCCTCATGATTATAATTCCACCAACACATCGCGATCTCCACGAAGTGGAGTTTTTGTGTGTGTGTGTGTGTTTACTATCCAGAACAAACGGCAGCCTGAGTTGATGATTTCCGAAAGGCACCTGAGAGTGAATACATTTGGACTCATCCTTTTAGTCCCACCTGAAAGGCAAAACACGTTTGGTCGAATCCTGTGCCTGGCATTAAGTCCCCTTGAATTCAGTGGGACTGACCACCAAGGAAGCAAAAAAGAAAAAAGAGAGAGAAAAAGTGTGCTGCCTATATAGCCCCATTGTAGTTAAAACACCATCTGGGTGGCTTACAATTTAATTATGCAGGCTACATATTGCCTCCTCCTCCTCCCCACCTCCAGCAAGCACGGTTACTGTATTCAGTTTACCAGCCTTGGAAGGATGGGAGGCTAAGTGAACCTCAAGCTGGCTATCTGGAATTGAACCCAAGTCCTGATCAGTATTTTGGCTGCAGTGCTGCATTGAACCACTGCTCCATGAAACAACAGAGATGGCAACCTTGTTTCCTTGAAGTGGAGGAGAAAGCTCATGGTCTGTCCATCTTATAGGGGGCAGCGTTTGCACCCTTCCAGATCTCTGCACCTGGAAGGCATAGAAGGCCTGTTTAGAGGACCTCTTGCAGTGTATAGTTTACAGCCTGTGCATAGCCTCACCTACCTCACAGGGTTGTTGTGAGGAGAAAAATGTGAAGGGGAGAATCTCCTAAGCTGCTGAGCTCTTTAGAGCAATGGCTTCCAACCTTGGGTCACCAGATACTCTTGAACTAAAACTTCCAGAAGCCCTCACCACTAGCTGTGCTGGCCAGGATTTCTGGGAGTTGCAGTCCAAGACCATCTGGGGGCCCAAGGTTGGGAAGCCCTGCCTTAGAGGAAAGTCTGGACAAATCTGTAACATTCTACCAGTAGGGACAGTAATATGAGAATTCTGTGTGCCTAGAGGCCATGCTGGGCACATAATGTCCAGTAGCCCGTGGTGAGTTAATGATGGGCAAGGCTGCGCTTCTGACATGTGTGGAGTTTTGTGTGTGGCGTTGATGGTGGCATGATTAGACCCTTCTTATATAAGAAGTCCAGAAATCTTGCTTCTCTCCAACTGATTTTTGAATACTACTTTTTTCAGTACTACTTTTTCAATACAAACCAAGTAAATAATAATCATCATAATAAAATAATACTTTTGTAATGGCTTTATAAGCGATAGCATTCCCGCAGCTTGTCCTAGAAGCATAGAGGCACTTGTGTGGCAGGGCAGGATCCTGCTTGCAGCCTGGACTTCTACATAGAAGGACTGCTCGTGGTTTGGGAGTGGCTTCTAGAAGTCTCGCAGTGGTTTGCTAGGTTGCCCGTCAGCTTTTGTGCACAGGTCTGTTTGTATGGAGAACAACACTAGTGAGTGATAGGAGCCAGCACTCTGGCTTGCTTGTCTCCCAATAAGCCAGAGAAAATCCACAGGCTGGCTTGGGTTTATTTGTTTTCTAGCCTGTTGGCAGAGAAACAGACTCTAGTGCTCTCTCCTGCTGGTGCCATAAACAAACCACCGACCCAACACTGTTGCTTTGTTTTACTGCTCCCAGCTTGTGCAGGAGCAAGCAGATAGCTTGTGCAGAGCTTGGATGTGTTTTGAGCTACAACTCCCAGCATCCTCCAGCCAGCTAGGGCCAGGGCCTTGCTGTGAGGTGTGTATCAGCCCAGGTTGTGTAGTGACTCCTGTTCCAGGCATAATCTGACCCACTGTGGCCCTCATTCATTTATGAGGAGTTCTCCACATAGTTTTCACACAGAGAAACAGAGGGCCACAGTGGGAGGCGAGGCCTGATGGGAAACAAAGGGGCCTGTTCAGGTGGCAGTTGGCCATGTTTTCCTCACACAGATACTTGCAAGTAGGAGCCCTTCAGTTGTGTTGTGATTATTAACACAGGGCCTTCTTAACATTTATCCTACACAGGCTGAAATCCATGAGTAAACTACAGTTGGCCCACTGAATTACAGTGGGGATTTGGTGAGTTCACTCCTCCATAAGTTCCACAGATTCAGTGGGTGTACTCTAGCTCCAGTGAGATTTTTCCACTTTAAAGGAGTACAGTACTATACTGTGGTTGTGGTTTTGAGAGAGATTTGTCTCTTGTTGCTATCCGTAACTCCTGGAATGAAATAAAATTTCTGCTTAACCTTTTTTAAAAATTGGCAAAGAGTTGAAGGGTTTTGTGTCAGCAGTGAGAGGTGTCATCTCCATTATCCGGATTTTAGCCTCTTTTTGAAGAGGGCTACAGGGGAGTTCATACAAAGCTGGAATCCTTTCCCTGTTCTCTGTGCCTCTCCTGCCACAAAGTGAAATGCTGGGGTTGAGTGGAATCTTAACTGTTCATGTCTGGAAATAGTATGTATATCTCCTCTATATACAGTGTATGCATTCCAGCAACAGTCTCGGCAGCTGCTGGGTCTGTCTCAATAAGTTTCTTTCTGTGATGCATGGCTATAAATAAATCCCTTTCTGCACTTGACCACCACAGGCTTCTGCTGAGTGCTGCAAACGTGGGTGTCGGGTGAGGGAGAGGCAGCCAAAGAGGTGTGTCTTTTAGGCAGGAGAGAGAAAATGCCAATAATGCAATCCCATTCTGATGCTCCTTGGGCAGTGGCACAGAATTCAAGGACCCCCCCCCTTTCCTTCTCCCTCCTGTTTTGCCCTACAGAAAGGGTGGGGTGGGACGGTCTTTGGACCTGAGGAGTTGGAAGCAGTAATGGAATCTCACCACTAGAGTGCAGACAATTTGAAGTCAAGAGTTCTCCTTTCTCCTCCACTTGCAAAGGATGAGTGATGCTTCCTCAATGGAAACTATGTGGTCTTCCTCCCCACCCTTCCCCTCCTCTTCATGGCATCTTTCCTCTCAGGGCGTCTGAGCTTTTGTGGGCTGAGCCCATAGATCACTTAGTCAGCCTTTTTCCGCAGTTCCCAACATCATCCTTGTGCTGGGTGAGGCTAATGTGAGCTAGAATCCACCAACATTTTCAGGGCCAGAGCAAAGTTCATGAAGGTTATTTTTTGAGACTACAACTCTTAAGAATTCCTTAACCAGCAAGACTAGTTATAGTCCTCTTAATATTTTCAAACTTTCAGTGAGAAGATCCTTATTCCTAACTTCAGGCAGGGCCACAAAGGTGATCCCATTTTATTTTCAGTCCTTTTGAATTGGGAAGCATTTCCGCTGAAGAAACACAAATATAAAGGTATTGTTCTGAAATGGATTTTGGAATTTGTTCTATGTCACCTTGGCCATTCCTGCTTATGAGCCCCTAGAAATGTCTAGTTTTGGAGTTCTAACATCTGCATTTCCCCCATCCATCCTGTTCAGTGGCAAAAATAGCTCCTAAAACCCCAGGAGCCAAATCTGCAGGTAATCATGCAAACTTTCTTTACAGGCAAATTAATACAACATTTGCATATATTCATAAAATGCTTGCTGTTGGAGTACATTTAAAAAGGGTGTTGTGCTTAAGTACCCATGTGAAGCAATTTCCACTCAAGCATAAAGACTATAAAGTCTTTGACTGGAAGCAATCTTAATTTTGATAAATTTATGTACATTTATAAAGCAAAAATATGAAGAACAGATTTCTCGAGCCTGGAGTTAGAAAAGATACCTTGTCATTTCCAGGCAGCTTGAAGATGGTGTAAGTTGTCTGATATAGTTGGGAACGCTGCTGAAAACTGTAAAGTTCACCATGAATTGATAGCTTCATTTGAAAATATTTATTTATTACATTTATATCTCAACTTACTTCTGCTGAAGCTGAGGTGGAACCTATATTTCTTTTCCTCCATCACAATAACCCTGTGAGAGACTGTAGGTCACACTGGGGAAGGGACTGGCCCACAGAGTCACCTGCTGGGGTGAGCATTTATCTTCTCATCTCCAGTGGCAGTCTCTGGG